TGCGGGCAAAAATTTTGCGATAAAAGTAATCGTTATGCGGAAAAATCGCTATGCGATGCCATCGTTATGCGGGGGTCCACTGTATTGTAATAATTGTATAAATAATGTCAACTCATTCATGACTGCATATTAAAATGGCTAGTTGGACTTTTATTGGACAATGACATCATTTGTTTACTTTTGAACATCAGCAAAAATCAAACATTTCCCCTACTTTGAGCTCCATTACAAGGTTCTTTTCATAGTAAAACCAATCAAAATCACCTCTATTTCTATAATATGTTTTCCATTCTATCAAATGAGACCAAGAAAACGAGAATACAACCATAAATACTATACAAAAATAGACCACAAAGTCGGCATTTTAATAAAAAAAAAAGTTTTTTTTTCTCATTATGCACTGCGTGCTGCAGGATTTTTTTTATATGGTGCACACTGACCACACAGACCCATTTTCTCACATGTGGGCCTACCAGCTTTCTCCTGCTTGATTTGAAGCCGCTAGAATTTGAGTATGTATATATATACGTCAAAAACGGTGGCTCGTAAGACGTATATATACGACCAAAACAATCAAAGGGTTAATGATGTGTTTGGCCCAAGTGTGAAAAAATACCTCCTGGAAAAGAAATTGCCACTCAAATGCCTCCTGGTACTGGACAATGCTCCTGCACATCCTCCAGACTTGGAAGACCAAGTGATTAGGGACTTCAGTTTTATAAAAGTGAAGTTCTTGCCTCCTAACATCACTCCTCTCCTCCAGCCCATGGACCAGCAGGTCATTTCTAACTTCAAAAAACTCTACACAAAAGCAGTGTTTCAAAAGTGCTTTTAAGTGACCTTGAACACTCAGTTGACTCTAAGAGAGTTCTGGTGGAATCACTTCACTATCCTCCATTGCATAAGCCTTATAGGTAAGGCTTGGGAGGGAGTGGCTTCCAGGACTTTGAACTCTGCTTGGAGAAAACTGTGGCCAGATTGTGTTCAAGAGAGGGATTTTGAAGGGTTTGAGGCTGACATTGACCCTGCCAACCCTGTGGACTCTATTGTGGCACTGGGGAAGTCCCTGGGGTTCGAGGTGAGTGGTGAGGATGTGGGAGAGTTGGTGGAGGACCATAGGGAAGAGCTAACCACTGAAGAGCTGCAAGAGCTTCAACTTGAACAGCAACAGACTGCAGCTGAGGGACTTGCTTCAGAGGAGAAGGAAGAGGGAGTGAAGGAGGTGCCTTCTTCATTGATTAAGAACAGTTGTGCAAAGTGGAATGATGTGCAAAGTTTTGTCGAGAAGTACCACCCTGACAAAGCTGAAACAAGCCATATCTGCAACATGTTTAGTGACAAAACCTTGTCCCACTTCAGGGAAATCTTAAAGAGATGCCAGAAACAGAGCACTCTGGACAGTTATTTTGTGAGACAGGGGTCCAGTGACTCAAGCTGATCCTAGTGGCATTAACTCTTTCAGAATCAAGAAGCCCTCTCCTAAACTTGTTCTCAGGGTTGTAAATTTTTCGAAAAAATAAAAATTATTTTTTCTTATGAAATGATAATCTTTTCCCAATCATAATGACACCAAAAGTATGAAATTTGATGGAAAACTTACAGAATTATGCTCTCGCAAAGTTAGCAGTCTCGACGATGTTTACACATCAGCGATTTCGCCCACTTTGAGCCCTCTTTTTGGCCAATTCCAATGCACCAGTTGACAAAACTCATGGCTGTTTTGTTAGAGTTCCATTTGTTCTATTGAATGCGTACAAGAAACCAACCAATTACTGATTTCAACTATCCAATAAAGTGGTCAGAAATTGGCAATTTTGCTAATTTCACACAAATTTCAAAAGATGCCAATTTCAAAATAGGGTCCAGAATAAACAAGACAGACATTCCTGGCACTAAAATAACATTTTCTCTGTTCATTAGTCACATCCCCAGGCCCCTCTTACATTTCTTTTGCTTTCCACTTTGAGCTTTTATTCTCACAAAAAATAGAAGATTTACTGTTACGCAGACTACTGCATTAGTGTAAAAATGGTATAAATAATATCAGCGCACTTGTGAAAGAATATTAGACTCGCCAACTGACGTGCATTGGACGCGTGGCATGATATGTTTACTTTTGAACATTGGCAAAAATCGAACATTTCTGCTACTTTCAGCTCAATTTCAAGGTACATGTCCTTTTCATTGTGAAACCAATCAAAAATCATCTCAATTTCTGTAATATGTCTTCCATTCTATAAAATGACACCAAGAAAACAAGAATACAACCATAAATACCATACGAAAATATACTGCAAAGTCACTGTTTTCAACAAAAAACACGGTCGGAGTTTTTTTTCTCATTATGCACAGTGTGCTGCAGGATTTTTTTTATACTGTGCACACTGACCACACAGACCCATTCTTTCATATGAAAGCCTACCAGCTTTCTCTCGCTAGATTTGAAGGCGCTAAAATTTATGCATACTTGTATGGCACCAATCCTGGCGTGCAAGCCGTACTAGTACGACACCCACCCTGAAAGGGTTAAAAGACAAAGAAGGGAAGTAACCCCAGAGAAAGCTTTGCTACCTAAAGTTTTTTTTGGAAGGGGATTCCCTTTCCAAACACTAACTCCTCCCTCTTTCCTCCTCCCTATCTTCCAGAAGCCAGCATTACCATTCAATAAAGGTATGTAAGACTTATATAATTGTTAAAAAAATTATTTTTTTTTTGTGAATATTTTTGTCTGGAATGGATTAATTGTATTTACATTAATTCTTATGGGAAATATTATTTCGGTTTTCGGCAGACCTTCTGGAATGGACTATGGCCAATAACCGAGTGTCCACTGTACACTATTTTTTATACATTAGCAGGTGATGCCAAATGATATTTACAGCAGTAACAAACCCTGCTGGGAATCACTCCTTTCTGTAGCATAACTGGTAAATGACATGAACTGTGTATATCAATGAAGTGAATATATTCTCCAGCCTATTCCCATCTTTCCTAGGGGGAAAGAAAAAGCATTATCTGGTGTATGCAATATATGATTTAATGATTCTTCAATTTTCAGATACACAGGAGAACAGTAAAGGCTAGATGAAGCTTTCTTTCAACAAACCGGTCGTATCCCACCAAGGCAGGGCGGCCCAAAATGAAAAACAAAAGTTTCTCCTTTTAAATTTAGTAATATATACAGGAGAAGGGATTACTAGCCCCTTGCTCCTGACATTTTAGTCGCCTCTTACGACATGCATGGCTTACAGAGGAAGAATTCTGTTCCACTTCCCCATGGAGTAGATAAATCTATGCTTACAAATTACAATAAATGTCTCATTCCTCATGAACTCCAATAGTTAATCTGTGGGAGCTATAAAAAACTATTCATTATTTTCATATGGGGTTATATAACATTTTACATTTTCTAACAACCATGCCTTCCACTTCTCATTAGCCTGTACCTCCAAAGTCACTTCCTGAAAAATATCAGACTTCCCTACCTCATTAAAATGCATTTTCCTAAACATATTTATACTTGGGGTATTGCTAAATCCTATCTTAACTTGGTATCTTTTAATTCCAAGAGTCTCTACTCCATAGAGAAACATAAGCAGCATTGCCTCCCAGCCACGCTTCTGTTTGCGAAATCCAGTCTCTGCTATCATGATCTCTCCTTCTGCAAGGGATCTGTCCTCAGGATCCACTAAAAATAGATTTGTGTCTCCAATCATGGCTTCAACTTCAGAATTTTTCTCAGTCATCAGCCCTCTGTCAAGTATTATGAAGGTGCATTTGTCATCATCACTGAACCAAGACTGCTGCATCTGGTACTCCTCTTCCAGGGTAAGTGGTTCTGAGGCAGTAAGCTCCTGGAGACGAGGTGAAAGCATCCACTGGTGGTACTTCTCCACGTGTAATTTGTTATATGGCACAAGAATCACTTTATCACCAACAATTTTGATTTTACTGTTGATCCTCATGGCTGACACACATCCCCCTGCCTGAAAGAGGTGTAAATCTAGCAAACTGTACATTATTCCTCATGCTGCAGTTCAATAGCATATTAGATAAAAATTACTTAAATACATGTGTCTTTTTTATTTTACATGCACCTACTGCAGTTTACAATTATCTATACTATATACTGTACCTATTATGTAATTATCTATCTTTAATTAACTACATAAGTCCCTTGAATAACATGCAATTGAACAGCATATTTTTGTGATAACACGCAAAATTTTGTAACAAATTTGCATAGTATGCCATAAAAGAGGACAGCATAAATATAAGGGGAAAATGTGGCACACCACGAGATCTTTTACCCTAAGCAACAGTCAACCTATGAGAAATGCCATGTTTTTATTGGGGAGGCCTGGTCTCACTCTTAATGTAAACAGCTTCCCATGGCACCATACCATATTCAGTCATGTACAGTGGTACCTTGACTTAAGAGTGCTCCAACTTACGAGTTTTCCGAGTTATGAGCTGTCGCTCGGGCGATTTTTTTGCTTTGAGTTGTGAGCCAAAATCCGAGTTACGAGCGAGCTTCAGATACGCCGCCACTCACAGGAGATACCGAGAACATATGAAAAACCTTGATAATAACCAGTGTGTAATATCCTTTCAATTTTGATACCACTGGTAATGTCATCCTGCCAGAATGTTGTGGAACATGTGTAATACATGCTCGACAGGCTGGCTGGTTGGCTGGTCTGCTAACTGGCCAGCTGGCTGGTCAGTGGCTTGCTGGCTGGCTGACTGATTTACTTTGGCTCTCTCTCTCTCTCCTTCTGTCTGTCTGTATCTATTTCTGTCTCTGTGTCTATCTGTTTCTCTATCTGTTTCTCTGTCTATCTCTCTCTCCATCTCACAGGTACACATAAATAGTTATGCATAATGTAAATTACCTAGGATAACCCAAAAAATCCAGACAAAGTGTTATACTATGCTTGTAGATATAAGGCATAATAACCATGACTGACAAGTAATACACATTTTCACTTGTTCAGGAATCAGACATGACAACTCTGCATTGTGTGTAATACCTGTTGGTTCACGAGCGGCTCTCTGAGACAGAGACAAATAGAGAGGCAGGAAGACAGAAACACAGGCAGACAGAAAGACAGATAAGTAGAGACAGAGATAAACATAGACAGAGCTAGACAGACAAATAGACAGAAACAAACAGATAGACAGAGGCAGAAACAGACACAGACATGTTTATGTGTAACAGTGAAAAATAAAGCCAAGGCAGTGTATGATCATCAAATGTCACTCCACTGCTGCACTGTCAGTAGTGGAGTGATACTCATCTTACACCGTGCTACAAGGAATTTCATATATACTCTAGCATTTCTGAAACATTGCTGGGACCTGGCAAAAAAGGCAAAAATCATTTCTTATTTATAAAGATATTTTTCTTATTTAACAACCCGTAACAAAAAAATTGGGGTGGTTTTTTTGGGGGCTGGAAAGGATTAATGGCATTTCAGTTAATTTCAGTGAGGAAAACTGATTTGACATACGAGCAAACTGAGTTCCGAGCTTGGTCATAGAACGAATTAAACATGTAAGCCAAGGTACCACTGTATTACCAAATCATTTTTTTTCATTTTTTATCAGTCCATCTTGTCTGTGGATAGTAACCAGAACACCCAAGAGGAGTACAAGTGATGATGGAGGGGGCAAGAAGAATAAGTATAAAGGTCTACATATATTAAAAATACTGAGATATTAGATATGCCCAAAGTGGTGCACAATGCGATGTAGATGTGCAAGTCTTTGGTCTCAAAGCAACAGTTCATACAACTAGAAGGAATGAGAAGATAAGATCAGTAATCCATGTTATGACCTCCTGAAAAGAATGTTACATTGGTCACAACAACTAATAAGACAGAAAAATTACCAAGTTTTGGCTGGTTCCACAATTTTAAATTGTGCAATTGCATGCATATTAAACTAAGTGGTGAAAATGCAGTTGCTGATCATGCTGCCACTGAGGATTTCCCTGCACAATTGAAGAAATTATTTCTTAGAGGTTTTATAGTGCCAGGAAGGAAAAAAAGCTGGCAGGAAATGACAGAAATTGTACGCCAATTCCAGTCATTTCTGGAGTGGAATCACAAGCGATGGCCTCCACTCCAAAACAACAGATATTAGTGCCAGGAAAAAAAGATCCCCCCATACCACCAATCTGACAACATTCATCTTTGCAAATATACAGGGTCTAAAGCCAGCAACGAATAACAAAATACCTTTCATCCGTGGACTGCTTACAGAGTCAAATGCAATGTTCACATTTTTCACAGAGACCCACATAAAGGATCACTTGGACAATGAAATATGGATCCCAGGTTACAACCTATACAGATGTGACAATGAACAGGCAAAAGGGGAAGAGGGGGTTGGCCTGAATATCACAGAGTCACTTATATGCTCAGAACTACTGAATGCCTCAAATGATCTAGTTGAAGTTTTAGCAGAAAAGATCATTGTGGTTGTATACAAGCCAAAGGATGCAATGTCCCAACAATTCCAGGAACAGCTTTTGAAAATTGACCACTGTCTGGAAAATCTTCAAGCTCCTGCCCCCAACATCTTGCTCCTGGGGGATTTCAACCTAAGGCACCTAAAATGGAGGAATATAGTAAATAATGTGGTAGCATTATTATTATAATCAAAAAGAAGCGCTAAGCCACAAGGACTATACAGCAAATGTGGTAGCAGAGGTAACACCAGGAGGCAGCTCAGATGAAAACTCGCACACACATGAGCTTTTAAATCTCTGCACCAAATTCACCTTGTGATGAATGGTTTTGAAAACCGACAAGTTGAAGAATTGAGACACTTATGCAACGGGAATCTTTATTGAAGAAACGTTTCGCCACACAGTGGCTTCATCAGTCCAGTACAAAGTAGAAATGGGTAAGGAGAGTAGAAGTATGAGGTAATCAGTCCCTCAACCTGGAATCGATGTGTCCAGTCCATCACTCTTGTAGTAAGTGCAGCATAGGGCCAGAGAGGTGGCTTATATACTGCGGTGAGATGAGTTGAAGCAGGAGGTGGCGGGATCACAGTGGGACCTGCCACTAGTGTAAGTAGGTCGTCGTCCAAAGGTTGGGCAAGCGTTGAAGTCTTTGTACCAAGATCCCATGATGTTGCAGTGTCTGACAGATGTGATGAATGGTTTTGAAAACTGACAAGTTGAAGAATTGAGACACTTATGCAACGGGAATCTTTATTGAAGAAACGTTTCGCCACACAGTGGCTTCATCAGTCCAGTACAAAGTAGAAATGGGTAAGGAGAGTAGAAGTATGAGGTAATCAGTCCCTCAACCTGGAATCGATGTGTCCAGTCCATCACTCTTGTAGTAAGTGCAGCATAGGGCCAGAGAGGTGGCTTATATACTGCGGTGAGATGAGTTGAAGCAGGAGGTGAGACCAAGTAAACCAAGTCCTAAATGATATAAACTGGGAAGATAGACTAAGCAACACGGATCCTACCCTATGTCTAGAACAAATTAATTCTGTGGCATTTAAGGTATGCTCAAGGCATATTCCCTTAACAAAAAGGGGATGATGTAAACTAGAAAGAGAGAGGCACTCCCTATACAGGTGAAGGCAAAGAATAACAGAGCGGCTACAAGAGGCCAATATATCTGCAATATGTAGGGAGACACTGGCCAGAGAAATAGCAAACATTAAACTAAAGCTAAAGGAATCTTACAGGAGTCAAGAAATGCAAGAACTAAAAGCCATAAATGAAATTGAAAGAAACCCAAAGTATTTTTTTTTCTTATGCCAAATCAAAGTCTAGAACAACATCCAGTATTGGGCCCCTACTTAAATGGGATGGGTCCTACACAGATGACAGCAAGGAAATGAGTGAGCTACTCAAGTTCCATTATGACTCGGTTTTTAGTGAGCCACTAACCAAACTGAGAGTCGAAGACCTAAATGAATTTTTTATGAGAGAGAGAGACAGAATTTGGTAGACACACACATATCTGATATTATCCTGATACCAAATGACTTGAAAAGGTGATAAATGCCATGCCCAAGCACTCTGCCCCAGGCCCAGACTCATGGAACCCCATGTTCATCAAGAACTGCAAGAAGCCCCTATCACATGCTTTTAACATCCTGTGGAGAGGAAGCTTGGACACTGGGGTCATCCCACAGTTACTAAAAACAACAGACATAGCCCCACTCCACAAAGTGGGCAGTAAAGCAATAGCAAAGAACTACAGACCGATAGCGCTAATGTCCCACATCTTAAAATCTTTGAAAGGGTTCTAAGAAGCAAGATCACTACCCATCCAGATACCCATCAATTACACAATCCAGGGCAATATGGGTTTAGAACAGGTCACTCCTGTCTGTTCCAAAAGAATACAGATGTAATATACACAGACTTTGCAAAAGCCTTTGACAGGTGTGACCATGGTGTAATAGCGCACAAAATGCATGATAAAGGAATAACAGGACAAGTCAGTAGACGGATCTATAATTTCCTAACAAATAGAACACAAAGAGTAGTAGTCAACAGAGTAAAGTTTGAGGTGGCTATGGTGAAAAGCTGTCTTCCACAAGGCACAGTACTCGCCCCCATCTTGTTCCTCATCCTCATAACGTACTTAGACAGGGATATAAGCCACAGCGCCGTGTCTTCCTTTGCAGATGACACCCGAATTTGCATGAAAGTGTCCTCTACTGAAGACACTGCAAGACTCCAGGCGGACATCACCCAAATCTTTAAATGGGCTGCAGAAAACAATATGAAGTTCAATGATGAGAAATTTCAATTATTCCGATATGGAAAACGTGAGGAAATTAAAACTTCATTGGAGTATAAAACAAATTCCAACCACACAATAGAGCGAAAAACTAATGTTAAAGACCTGGAGGTGATCATATCAGAGGATCTCACATCGTATCAATCGCATCTGCTAGAAAAATGACAGGATGGACAATGAGAACCTTCAAAACCAGGGATGCCAAGCCCATGATGACACTCTTCAGGTTGCTTGTTCTATCTAGACTGGAATATTGCTGCACACTAACAGCCCTTTCAAGGCAGGTGAAATTGCTGACCTAGAAAATGTATAGAGAACTTTCACGGCACACATAACTGCGATAAACCACCTCAATTACCGGGAATGCTTGACGTTCCTAAACCTGTACTCCCTAGAACACAGTAAAGTTTATTTCTTTGTAAGGGTTACAGTGTGTAATTACAATTTTGATTTACTAAGTACAAAGATAGCCACTATCATGCCGAGGCATTTTAGGCAGACTAATCCTAATACATAGTAACTAATTAAAACTAGATAAGATAATAGTACATAGTAGCTATACTTAAAACTAGACAAGAAGTAGTGGTTAACTGTTTTACAATCTTATTTAAACTTAATACAAATGTGAGGTAGTAAGGTGGAGTAGGGTTCGGTAAAATAATCTTGAAATTGTACACAAAATCTACCTTACAAGTAATGGTTCAGGTGGTAACATTTTATGGATTGGCAGAATTAAAAGCCTAGAGGTCACATAATAAGACTAATTAGCAGATGTTTTGGTTGATTTGGTTAATATTGAGAGATAAGATGATTCTTTAGCAAAGTCCTAAATTTATAAGCTGTCAGGGGATCCTTGACCTGTTCCAGTAGCGAGTTCCAGATCTTCGGGCCCTTTATGTGCATAGTGTTCTTGCATAGTAAGAGTCTGACTCGAGGGATGTTGAAAAGTGCCTTATGCCTTGTATTGTGACTGCATTTTGTTGTAACTGTCAAGGAGTAGTTTTAAGGGAGGGTTTACAGTGGAGTTTAATGTTCTGTATATATAGTAGGCACAACAATATGAGTGTATGACTTGCATATTTAGCAAGCTGAGTCTTTTGAAAAGTGATGGGGTGTGCTGTCTAGCACAGGAGCTGGATATCACCTGCACAGCAGCTTTTTGTTGGATTATTAAGCATCTAAGGTCGTTGGCTGTGGTTGAGCACAAATACCAAAGTGAGGTAAGGATATATTAGAGTGGTATAGGGTAAGGAGTGTCATTTGTGATACATAGTACTGTATCTTGGAAAGGATTCCTACTGATTTGGAAATTTTCTTAGCTATGTGATGGGTGTGGGACTGAAATTTAAGATTACAGTCAAGGAGAAGACCTAGGAATTTGACCTCCATGTGTCTTGATATAGGGGAACCATTTATCAATACGTTAAGTTGAATATTTAAGGCTCTGTTGCCAAACAGCATGAAGTATGTTTCGTCTATGTTGAGAGTGAGTTTGTTGGTCATCATCCAATTATATATCTTTAGCAGTTCATTGTTTACAGTGTTTCTAAGTACAGCCGGGTCTGAATGGGAGTAGACATATGTAGTGTCATCTGCAAATAGAATTGGTTTAAGGAGTTGGGATGCACTGGGAAGATCACTGATGTAGATGAGAAAGAGGAGTGGGCCTAGGACACTACCCTGGGGTACTCCTACAGCTACAGGTTAGATAGCGGAATTGACTCCATTTGCATATACATATGTACTGGTGTTTGTCGTTAAGATAGGATTTTAGGTAGTCAAGAGAATGTCCTCTGATGCCGTAATGATTCAGTCTGAGATTTATTTATTTATTTATTTATTTAGAAATTTTAGCATACATACAGAGGTACAAAAAAAATACAGGTAAGAGCAGCATGCCAAAGCCACTTATATGCATAGCATTACGGGCTGGCTTAAAATTAACTTAAGATTAACTAAGCAATGATGAAATCAGTGATAAGACATTATTGTAAACAGATAACTATAAAGCACAAATGAGTATTACAAAGACAGGTCATATGGTTGCATGCATTGCTGTTCATTCAGTAGAATGGAGTATTCTGTTAGGTAGTGTATTTAAAAAAAATAACAAAGTTAGATTGGGTCCTAGGTTTAACATTTATGTGATATAATTGTGAGTAACATTTTGGATATACAATTTACAAGGTTCAGTTATTCAGTATTATTTGGTTTTGAGTGAGTAAGTGAACTTTGAGAAGAGACTTGAATTTGTAAACAGGTAGTGTTTCTTTTATATTTACAGGTAATGAATTCCAGATTTTAGGGCCTTTTATGTGCATTGAGTTTTTGCATAGCGTGAGATGGACACGAGGAACATCAAAGAGTGATCTGTGCCTTGTGTTATGGTCATGTGTTCTGTTGAGGTTGGCAAGGAGATGTTTGAGGGGAGGGTTAATATCAGAGTTAAGTGTTCTATGTATGTAATAGGTGCAATAATAAGTATGGATGTTTTGTATGGTGAGTAGGTTGAGTGTTTTGAATATTGGTGGAGTGTGTTGCCTGTAGTGAGAATTTGTTATCATTCTAACTGCAGCCTTTTGTTGGGTAATTAGTGATCTGAGATGGTTAATTGTTGTTGAGCCCCATGCACAAATTCCATAGGTGAGATAGGGGTAAATAAGAGAGTGATAAAGGGCCAGGAGGGCTGACTGTGGAACATAGTACCGTATCTTCGATAGTATGCCTACAGTCTTGGAAATTTTCTTAGAAATTTGTTGTACATGTGTATGAAATTTGGGTCTATTATCGAGGTGGATTCCTAAGAATTTTCCCTCTGTTAGCTTTGTGATAGGTGATCCGTTTATCGTTATGTTAAGAGGTACATCTGTAGCTCTGTTACCAAACTGAATGAAGTAGGTTTTGTCAATGTTTAGTGTAAGTTTGTTAGTCCTCATCCAGGTAGATATTTTCTGTAATTCGGTGTTTACAGTATTGGCTAGCGTGACTGGGCTCGGGTGAGAGAAGACGTATGTAGTGTCATCTGCAAAAAGTGTGGGTTTGAGTAATTGCGAAGCATTTGGTAGGTCATTTATGTATATAGGAGAAAGAGAAGAGGGCCAAGGACACTTCCCTGTGGGACACCAGCTGTAATTGGTTGTGCGGAAGAGCTTGCCCCATTTGCGTACACATATTGGTTTCTGTTGCTGAGGTAGTTGAGGGAGTGCCCTCTAATACCATAGTGTGACAATTTTACGTGGAGCAAGTCATGGTCAACTGTATCAAAAGCTTTACGTAAGTCAATGAAGATCCCCAGTGGGACTTCTTTTTTCTCTATTGCAGTGTATATATGTTCTAGCATGTGTATAATAGCATCATTAGTATTTTTATTAGGCCTGAATCCAAATTGGCAGGGGTTGAGAATGTTTTGGGAGATGAAGTAGGAGTAGATTCGTTTATAAATTAATTTTTCGAAGATTTTTGAGAGAGGGTGTAAATTGGATATTGGCCTATAGTTATTCAACTCTGTTTGGTCTCCTCCTTTATGGATCGGGGTGACCCTTGCTATTTTGAGAACTGTGGGGAAGGTGGAGGATTCAATGGATTTGTTAAAGAGTGTTGCAATGATTGGTGATAGTACTTGTGATGCTTTTTTGTATATTAAGGGTGGTAAGGTATTTAAATCTCCTGCCTTGTTTTTCAGTGCGTTGATAATAAGGGAGACTTCGTATGGGTTAGTCGGAGCTAGGAACAGTGTGTTCGGGTAGTTGCCAGTGAGGTAGTCATTTGGTGGGGTATCTGAGCTTGGGATTTTATTGACAAGGTTTTGACCTATAGTGGAGAAGAAATCATTGAGTCTGTTTGCTGTTTCTGTTGGTGGGAGTTGGGGTTCATCTGATTTTGCTAATTTTATTTCGCTATGTCGTGATATCTTTTTTGTTCCCAGAATTTCTGATAGGGTCTTCCAGGTCTTTTTTATATCACCTCATAAGTTGGATAATCTGTTCTCATAATACAATTTTTTTGCCCTTCTTATCAGGCTGGTTAGGATTGACGAGTAACATCTTGTTTGGTCTCTGGTTATGTGACCCATTCTGTACTGTTTTTCATATCGGTGTTTTGTATTTATGGATTTGAGAATGCTGGGTGTTAGCCAGGGACTGTTCAGTCTCTTAGCTGTCATCTGTTTAGTTTTTTTAGGGCAGTGCTTGTTATAAAGGTATTGGGTCTTTTTTAGAAAATTATTAAAACATTCGTCAATATCTGTATAGATTTCTAGCTCAGTGTGCCAGTCAATGTTTGTTACTGCTGTTGTGAAGTTATTAATGGCTGCCTCATTGTGAAGTCTGAAGGTGACTTTAGTAGTGTCTTGGGGTATTTTACCAAGAGTTGTTATGAGGAAAGTAGGGTAGTGGTCTGTGGTATTACTGGTCTACTGTATCAAAGGCTTTTCGTAGGTCGATGAAGAGTCCCAGAGGATACACATTTTTATCAAGAGCTGTGTATGTTACTTCAAGCATTTGTATAATAGCGTCATTTATACTTTTTTTTTTTTTGTCTAAACCCAAATTGGCAGGGATTAAGTATGTTGTTGGATGTAAGGTAGGAGTAAAGTTGCTTGTGTATTATTTTTTTGAATATCTTGGAAAGTAAGGGCAAGTTTGATATGGGTATATAGTTGTTCAAGTCAGTTGGATCACCTCCTTTGTGGATTGGGGTAACCCTTGCTCTCTTGAGTATAGATGGGAAGGTTGAGGATGCTACAGATTTGTTAAACATTGTTGCAATAATTGGTGACAGCTCATGTGCAGCTTTTTCATATATGAATAATCAATCAATCAAGTTTATTCTCTATAAGGATTACAATGCAGGGTTTACAGATTTTGGTTATTGTGTGGTTTACATGTAATAAAATACTAATTACAGAGGGGGCCACTAGGACACCTAGCATGGCTAGGCATTTTGGGCAAACTTAGATTAATTCTTAACCCTAAATTATTACAAATTATGGAGTAAGATGACTAAATACTAAGTGACTAAATACTAGTTGGTGAGTTTAGCAATGTGAATGCTTTTGTTTTGGCACAATATATAGTTTCTATATTGGAGTATCACAGGCAAACTTATGACTAGTTAGGAATCATTATTTTAAGATTAAGATTCATATTTCTGTGCTTATAGTGAGTGAGTAAGTGAGAACCACCAGGTGATTTTCATGTAGTTAGTTGACGAGGTGTATCAGGGAGATAAGATGTTTTCTAACGGTAGTTTTGAAGGTGATGAATGTGTCTGCATTTCTAGAATTTTCAGGTAGGGTGTTCCAGATTTTAGGGCTTTTGACATACATGGAATTTTTGTAAAGGTTTAGTCGGACACGGGAAATGTCGTAGAGATGTTTGTGTCTGGTGTTATGCCTGTGGGTCCTGTCACAACTATCAAGAAAGCATTTTAGGTCAAGGTTAATATTGGAATTTAAGGTCTTGTAGATGTAGATTGCACAGTAGTAACTGTGGATGTTCTGAACAGGGAGTAAGTTTAGATCTATGAAGAGTGGGGGGGGGGTGTTGCCAGGGATGGGATTTAGTGATTATTCTTACTGCAGCTTTTGTTGGGTTATTATTGGCTTTAGGTGTGTTGCTGCAGTTGATCCCCAAGCACAAATAGCATAGGTGAGGTATGGATAAATGAGTGAATGGTATAGTGTGAGAAGGGCATTTTGTGGCACGTAGTATCGTATCTTGGAGAGGATCCCATCTGTTTTGGATACTTTTCTTGTTATGTGTTGGATATGGGTGCTGAAATTCAGGTTGTTGTCGAGGTATAGGCCTAGGAATTTGCCCTCATTATGTCTGGCAATTAGAGTGTTGTTGATCTTAATGTTAAGTTGCACAACACCTGCTCTGCTACCAAACATAATATAGTAGGTTTTGTCAGTGTTTTGTCATCCAAGTCGATATTTTGAGCAGCTCCTCATTAACAATGGTATTGAATGTGGCAAGATTAGGGTGAGAAATGACATAAGTCGTGTCGTCAGCAAAGAGAATGGGTTTCAGGTGTTGGGATACGTTTGGAAGATCATTGATGTAAATGAAGAAGAGCAAGGGTCCAAGGACACTTCCCTGCTGAACTCCAGTATCAAGTGGCTGTGCTGATGATGCTGTGTCTTTATTGGTGACATACTGATACCTATTAGTAAGGTAGGATTTGAAATATGCAAGCGCATGGCCTCTTATACCATAATGGTCAAGTTTGTGTAGTAGGATGCTGTGGTCTACTGTGTCAAAAGCTTTTCTTAGGTCAATAAAAATTCCTAGCAGATATTCATTCTTTTCCAATGCTGTGTAAAGCAGATCTAGCATTTTTACAATTGCATCATTAGTGCTTTTATTTTTCCTAAATCCAAATTGGCAGGGGTTGAGTATGTTTTGTGCCGTTATAAATGAACATAGTCTCCTGTGCATGAGTTTCTCAAAGATTTTGGATAGCAATGGCAAGTTTGATATTGGCCTATAGTTGTTTACATCTGTAGGGTCACCACCTTTATGTATTGGTGTAACCCTTGCTGTCTTGAGTGGTTTCGGGAAAGTGCTAGTTTCTAGTGACTTGTTAAAAAGTAATGCAATAGCATGCAAAAGGACATGGGCCGCTCGCTTGTTCAATAATGGTGGGACATGAGACAGATCCCCTGAGTTATTTTTAAAGTGCTAGTTTCTAGTGACTTGTTAAAAAGCAATGAAATAGCATGCGAAAGGACATGGGCCACTCGCTTGTACAATAATGGTGGGACATGAGACAGATCCCCTGAGTTATTTTTAAGCGACTTTATAATCTCGATGACTTCGGTGGGCTCAGTTGGTACAAGATAGAAGGAATTTGGGAAATTTCCATCTAGGTAGTCCCCGGCATGGGTGTTGGTACGTGGGATTTTACTGGCAAGATTAGATCCTATGGTTGAGAAGAAGTCGTTTATCTTGTTAGCTGTATCAGTGGGATGCAGTGGTGCTTCATTAGGTTTAGTTAGGACAATATTCTTGTTTTTTTTCAGTTTGTGGGTGCCCAGAATCTGGGAGAGTGTTTTCCAGGTCTTTTTTATATCTCCTCTTGTGTCAGTGAATCTGCTGGAGTAGTACAGTTGTTTGGCTTTCTTTATTACTTTGGTGAGAACTGATGAACAGTGTTTAAGAATATCTTTGTGTATTAAGCCCTGTCTATATTGCTTTTCATATTGGTGTTTCTTATCAATGGATTTCAGAATGCTTCTGGTTAGCCATGGGCAACCGAGCCGTTTATTCGTGATCTGTTTCGTTTTTATAGGACAATGTTTGTTGTATAGTCTAAGTAATTTGTTAAGAAAAATGTCTGTCCAATCGTCAATACCATTGGCCTTGGAGAATTCTGTAGGCCAGTCAACAGTCTCTAGGTCTGCTGTGAACTTCCTTATTGAGGCCTCATCATGGAGTCTAAATGAAACTTTGTTGCATTCCAGTGATGGTTTACTAATGTTTGTTAAGAGGAAGGTAGGGTAGTGGTCTGTAGTGCTGTCTGTGATTATCCCTGATTTAAGGGGGCTAGTATATTGGTCCATATGTGGTCTATTATGGTTGCACTTGTCTCAGTGAGCCTGGTTGGTTTAGTTATTGTTGGTATGAGAAGTGTGTTGTTCATATTGTTGATGAAATCAGTTACAGGCTGATCATCTAGTAGGCCAAGGTTGATAATGAAGTCTCCAGCTAAGAGAAGGTGGTGCTTGTTCATTTGTCTGTTTGTTATTAGTGCCTTTAATTTCTAACTGAAATTTGGGATGTTTGTGTGGGGTATCCGGTAAATGGCACCAATTTTTATAGGCGTCTTAAGGTTTTCTACAGTAAAATTAGCAAAAATGTATTCCCCATATTCATCACTAAAGCAAGTGGTGCTAATACAAGATAGTTGGTTAGAGTAATAGATTGTAATACCACCCCCAACTTGGTATGGTCTGCAGTTGTGGATTGCTGTGTATCCTGGTAGAGGGTAGATATCTATTGTGTCCTGCTTAAGCCAGGTCTCAGTAAGAATAATGCAGGAGAAGGGTGTCTTTAGCAACTCAAGGAGTGCCAGGAGGTCATCATAGTGTTTGCTTAAGGACCTGATGTTGTAGTTAAGAACTGATAGACTTTTAGCACTGTTTAGGATAGTGCTGGCTTGTGATGCTGTGTAATAAAGGCAGTTACTTTCCAGTAGGTTTTGATTGGGTATTAGATTATGGAGGTTTAGATCAGGGTCGACGTGATCATTCATCTAGGTTTAAATTGTGGTTATTTATATCCTGAATTGTGTGTTGAGTTCTAGTACTGATATCTGTAGTAGTGGGAAGTTTGGACAAGTATATAGCTAAAGCACTTTGGTAATATAGAGTATAGCACCAGACTCTCACTTGTAATTGCACTAACGTCTAATATAATGAATTTGGTGTTGTCTATGTATTGAGCTAGAATGAGCTAAAATACAACTAGGTTTAATCTAATAATATAAAAAATACTAGTTTAAAATGGCACAAGACTCTCACTTGTAACTGCACTAAGGTCTAATATAAGTTATTAACAAGAACTAGAGTATAACTAAATTTAAATTGACAAGATAAAATACACAAGTTAAGGTAGCAAAAGAAAGTAAAAAATAAAAAAATAAAAATGGCAATGGCTTGATTATAATATGATAGTAAGATGGTACACAAGATAATATAAAAGTTGGAGTTGAATATACAAGCTTAAAAATTTGATAACAAAAGGTTAAGAAAAGTAAAATAAAGTTGGGTGATAAAGTCTAAAATAGAATAGGGCAATTATAAAAAGTATATAATAAAATTGGGTAATAAACTTTACAAATAAAAAAGGGCAATAATAAAAAGTTTAAAATAGATTGGGCAATAAAGTATTGGTGAAATTGGGCAAGTATAAGATTGGGTAATTAACTCAAGACAAGAATAGTGCAATAATAAGATGAAAAGTTTACAATAAAGTTGGGCACTAAAGTATAAAATAAAAATGGGCAATAATAAAAAGTTTACAATAAGGTTGGTCAATATAGTGTAAAGTAAAATTGGGAAATAATAGAGATTTTAAAATAAAATTGGGCAATAGAGTATTTCTTAAAGTGAGGTAGAATAACTGAGAAGGACAAGCTATGGTTAGTTTCAATTAAAATAAGATAGAACAATGAAGTGGTAAGATGTAAAAAAGGAGGGAGATTCTGTAGATATTAAACACAATTAAGACTATGAGGTAGAATGGTCATTGAATACAACAGTGACAATCAAAAGTAGTTGGGGTATTGGAAATTTTGGGGGGCGAATTTTGGCAAGTTATCTAGATCACCTGCTTTGTTTTTTAACCCGTAAATGGTCCAAACGTATATAGTATACGCTTTTTCAACATTTGAAAGTATGTAATATAAGTAGATCTTCTTTTTGTTTTGTTACATTTGAAAATGTGTAAAAAAACTTTGATCTTTTTTTTTTTTTTTGGTTATATTTGAAAATATGTAAAAAAAAAAGTAGATCTACTTTTGTAGCACTACACATGTGACCATAGATCTGCTTGGACCGTTTACGAGTTAATGATTTAATGATGAGTGAGACTTCAGTGGAATTAGTTGAGCTAGAAATAAAGTATTTGGGTAGTTGCCAGTGAAGTACTCATTCTGCTGGGTATTTGAACTAGGAATTTGACTTGCTAGCTTTGATCCTACAGTAGAGAAGACATTAAATTTGTCGGCCGTGTCTATAGGCTGTATGTGAGGTTCATCTGGTTTAGTTAAGTTTAAGTGGCCCAGTGGCTAAAGCTCCCGCTTCACACACGGAGGGCCCGGGTTCGATTCCCAGCTGGTGAAAACATTTCGACGCATTTCCTTACACCTGTTGTCCTGTTCACCTAGCAGCAAATAGGTACCTGGGTGTTAGTCGACTGGTGTGGGTCACATCCTGGGGGACAAGATTGAGGTCCCCAATGGAAATAAGTTAGACAGTCCTCGATGACGCACTGACTTTCTTGGGTTATCCTGGGTGGCTAACCCTCAGGGGTTAAAAATCCGAATATCTCTCTCTTAATCTCTCTATTTCCAGATGGTTTCCTAGAGCCCAAAATTTTGGAGAAGGTTTGTCATGTATGTACTTTTCATATCACCTTTATTTCAATAAATCTATTTTCATAATACATTTGCTTTGATTTTCGTATTAGTTTTGTGAGTATTGATGTGTATCGTTTAGTTAATTCTTTAGTAATTAGGCCTAATCTGAACTGTTTTTCAAGTTGGTGTTTTTTATTAATAGATTTGAGGATACTTTTTGTTAGCCATGGGCTGTTTAGTCTCTTTTCTGTGATCTGTTTCATTTTGATTGGACAATGCTTGTTACAGAGGTTTAGGGTTTTATGTAAAAAAAAATTTTGACATCTTTATCAATATTATTACTGATAAATTAGACACATGTGCAACTCTTGGGTATCTTTATTAAGGAAACGTTTCGCCACACAGTGGCTTCATCAGTCCATACACAGGAGAAGCTTGAAGAACAGGAGGAGAATGAGGTAATCAGTCCCTCAACCTTGAGTTGATGTGGTCAGTCCATCCATCTTGAATAGAATACGGCATATTAGCGGAGAAGGAGCTTATAAACCGTAGGAAGGAGAGGTGCAGCAGTCGTAGGTGGTGTCACATTTGCACAATGTGGAAGTAGGTCGTGCCCAAGGGTTAGGCAAGCGAAGAATTCCCAAGTATTAAGATCCCAAGAAGTTGCAGTGTCTGACAGGATTGTAGATGAATGGTTCACAGAACCGACACATTGATAAATTAGACACATGTGCAACTCTTGGGTATCTTTATTAAAGAAATGTTTTGCCACACAGTGGCTTCATCAGTCCATACACAGGAGAAGCTTGAAGAACAGGAGAATGAGGTAATCAGTCCCTCAGCCTTGAGTTGATGTGGTCAGTCCATCATTGATGGACTGACCACATCGACTGGCGTTTCCTTAATAAAGATACCCAAGAGTTGCACATGTGTCTAATTTATCAATGTGTCGGTTCTGTGAACCATTCATCTACAATATTATTACTGTCAGCTAACCCTCTCTGCCAATCAATGGCACTTAGTGCTAGTATTAGGTTGGTTATCGATGTCTCATCAAGCAGGCAAAATGAGATCTTTCTTGTTTCTTGAGGGTAGTAGTCTGTGGTGTTGTCTGTGATTATACCTGCTTGTAGTGAGGATATTGTGTTGGTCCAGATATGGTCAAGTAATGAGGTACTTGTCTCAGAGATTCTTGTTGGCTTGGTTATAGAGGGCAGCAACAAGCTTTTGTTCATAGTGTTTGTGAAATCAGCTACTGGAGGGTCAGTTCCTTGGATGAAATCTCCTGCAAGTATCAGATGGTGTTTATTCAACTCTGACTCAGTTATCATATTTCTAAGATTACTGCTATAAGTACAGAAAGATACATGATTATATACAACTGGAAAATACTAGAGGGACTAGCACCAAACTTGCACACGAAATTCACTCCCTATGAAAGCAAAAGACTCGGCAGACGGTGCAACATCCCCCCAATGAAAGGTAGGGTTGCCACTAGCACAATAAGAGACAACATAATAAGTGTCAGGGGCCCAAGACTGTTCAACTGTCTCCCAGCATACATCAGGGGGATTACCAATAGACCCCTGGATGTCTTCAAGTAGGCACTGAACAAGCATCTAAAGTCAGTACCTGACCAGCCAGGCTGTGGTTCGTACACTGGATTACATGTGGCCAGCAGTAACAACCAAGCTGATCAAGCCCTGATCCACCATGAGGCCTGGTCACAGACTGGGCTGCAGGGGTGTTGACCCCAGAACTCTGTCCAGGTATACTCTCTAGGTATATGTAGTAGGCACAATAGAATGAGTGGCAAAACGTTTCCCCTAATAAATGTCCTGAAATGTATATAAATGTCTTTTTCCACATCTTGTCGGTATCACCATACCATTTTTCATTAGGGGGATTACCAATAGACCCCTGGCTGTCTTCAGGAAGGAACTGGGCAGACACCCTAAGTCAGTACCTGACCAGCCGAGCTGTGGTGCATACATTGGATTGCATGCTGCCAGCAGTAACAGCCTGGTTGATCAGGCTCTGATCCACCGCCAGGCCTGGTCATGGACCAGGCTGCTGGGGAGATGACCCCAGGAACACCCTCCAGGTAAACCATATATTATATACAAAATTACTAACAACCATTATTCAGAATATCTTTCTACAATTTTTTTAAAAGTTAGGAACCAAAATTAATATTGTACCAAGGGAAGAGAAGCCAATATTGTAGTACCCAGAGTAGATGGCCTCAAACAACTTCAGTTATATTGCAATAAAGGTCTGGAAGGAGGTACCTGATAATGTTAATGAATTATTATTATTATTATTATAATCAAAAAGAAGCGCTAAGCCACAAGGACTATACAGCAAATGTTAATGAAAATAAGTCACTTTGTGTGACTTACTTTCGGTTATCCTGGGTAAATTACACTATGTATGATAATTGTACTTATGTGTACCTATGTCTAAATTAAACTTACTAAGAACAAAACTGAAAAATATCTAATATATGAAGATGCAGCAAGAGAAGAAGTAGGTATCTTGCTTTGATCAAATATTCATGATTTTTTTTATCCTATATAATCACATTTGAGTCGATTTATTAGAGCATAAAACGGTATGTATTGTATGTATTAAAACTGTTACTATTAAATACACAAGGTACACTGTAAGTCACACTGTTTAACGTTACTCGGTTATCGTAGGTTAAAATTTACATCATTTACTTTACGTTTAACATAGTAAAAGAACTTACAGCGCCTCAAGAAAACTTAATGAAAATGTCAGACTTTATTGGTTTTTTTCTAGATTAAATCTACATAATATAGTACATATATGTGTGCGTGTATGTGTCTGACACCTGTACCACTGGAAAACCGTAAACGTGTGAAACCTACATTAATTTTATTTTTTTGTGTTGTGTGAGAAGTTAGAAGTGTGGATGATGGTAGGTTAGTAGTGTTAATGTGAAGCAACCCACTGACTCTCTCCTCCTACACCACTGACTCTCTCTTACACTCACATCTCATGCCTCCACCACCTCGGTTATGCCCTCAGTGTCTACTTTACCTTTGTTATAAAAGTACTATCTTGGTTTTTATCTTTCTTGTAAATTGTCTCCACACCGCACCCTACAGACCTGCCAACACATGTGCTCTCGTCATCGCCCTATTTATCAATAAATATATATAATTAATCATAATTATTATAATTAATGATGAATACGTATTTTCGGTGTATAATTTAAGGTGTAACAACATAATATAATGAACACAAAGTGGTGTGTGACTTCATCATTGTAAGGTTGGCTGTCCTGTTTCAGTTCGCCAGATGAGGCAAAACTGAAGAGTTGTACGTGGATAAAACTTTATCAGCATTTATCAATTAACCTTAATTCAGACATTTTTGCACAACAGTCATATATAAAAATTATTTTTCTTTTAATTTAAAGTATAAATGTTAGTATCAGCTTGCTACATGAGCAAAATCGAGAGTAAAAATCCGCAATTATATCCTTGATGGTAGTAGTGAGGGCTGGCGAGGTGTGCGAGGCAGACCTCCACAGATCGCCATTTGTGCTGGGAGTGAGAGGTGGGCTCTTGGTCCAATATTTCTACCCGTTGCAAAGTGATAAAGGGTGCTTAGTGTGTGACCAGTGATGAAGGGAAGTGTAAATTGTGTGTAGAGATGCCAGTTACGTAGAAAAAGCATCTCGAGTTTAAGAGCATTTTTTTAAGTTTTGTCCCCCCGTCAAAATGGCTCAGTCTGTGAACTGTAGCTTGGATGACATCGACCTCAATGCACTGAAGGTAAGACATTTTTATTTCCCGTTGGTCTTTGTAAGGAAGGAAGCAGCACCGCCGAGCAGATCGTCGAACAGGAAGGAGCAAAGGAACGTGATGCAAATTGTGTGAGGGAGACTCCTCCCTCACCCTCCTCCTCCACCTCCCTCCATCACGTTTCTCCACCATTAACAGATCAATTTCCCACCATTAACAGATCAAGTTCCCATCATTACATGAGTTTCCATGATGTCAGCAGGATCTTGTCAGGCGTAACCAGTGGACGATTCTGTTGAATAAGAAGAGTGAGTGTGTTGGGTGAGGCATGACAGTCCTTGTCAGCTGCCCACCATGACAACAAATGTGGGTGGCTGTGGGTCGGGTGGGGTTGGTTGGTCGTCATGAGGGTTGTGCTGGAATTGTTGTAGTGGGGCATTATGTTGGGTTGTGGTTAGCTTTTGGTGGTTCTTTTGGATCTTAGTGCGCTTGTGAGAGTTGAGTTTAGACGGTGGTAGTGGTGGTGGACTTGTGCAGGGGGGAGGGGGTTTGAGTTGATTCTTGGGGAGCTGTTTTTGTGTGAGGAGATTGTAGGGGTTCATGGAAGGGGGGTGTTGGGTCGCGGGTGGTGTGTGGGAATTCTTTCTGGTCATGGTGTACTTCTTGGGGATAAGATTTGTTCGGGTTTTTAATCCAGAGGGTTAGCCACCTAGGATAATCCGAGAAAGTCAGTATGTTATTGAGGACTGTCTTTATTTCTGTTGGGGTCATTCAGTCTTGTCCCCCAGGATGCAACCCACAGCAGTTGACCAACATCCAGGTACCTACTTAATGCAAGGTGAACAGGGGCAGCGGGTATAAGCAAATATGCCCAACATTTCCACCCATACTGGGGATTGAATCGGACACTCATTGTGTCAAGTGAGTGCATAGCCAACCAAACCACAGGATTTGTCTTGGGTTATAGTGGGGTTGTATGTTGATGTGGTAGTTTTGTTATGTCATGGTGGGCTTGTGGGAGTTGTTGGGGATTTTGTTGGATTATGGTAAGTTTGTGGGAGGTTTTGTTGGTTTGTAGTCGGCTTGTGAGGTTTTGTTGGGTCATGGTGGTGATCTTGGGTTGAGGTAGGCTTTTTGTTGTTGGGTTATGGTGGGTTTCTGGGGCTTTTATTGAGTTGTAGTGGTGGCAGTGTTCAGTTGTGGTGGGAAATCTACACCTGGAAGATACTGGAGGGACTGGTCCCTCCAGTATCTTGGCAGGCAATGCAACATATCCCCAGTGAAAAGTAGAGGTGCCGTTAGTACACTAAGAGAAAACACAATAAGTGTCTGGGGCCCAAGACTGTTCAACAGGCTCCCACCAGCCATAAAGGGAATTACCAATAGACCCCTGGTTGTCTTCAAGAGGGAGCTGGACAGATATCTAAAGTAAGTGCTGGATCAGCTGGGCTGTGGTTCATACGTTTGCCACTAGGCCCAATGGCCTGGTGGCAAAAGCTCTCGCTTCACACAGTGAGGGTCCGGGTTCAATTCTCAGCGAAGGGATGGAAACATTGGATGTGTTTCCTTACACTGATTGTCTATGTTCACCCATAAGTAAAATGGGTACTTCTGACCTAATTTGCCAGAAATGCTCTGCATAACAATCGGCTTTCTATATAGTAGTATGTCATTGATGTCAGCTAGGCCTGTATACCTTGTACATGTACTTGTAGTAAATATTATTATTATTATTATTATTATTTTTATTATTATTTTTACGTTGGAATACGTGCAGCCAGCAGTAACAGCCTTGTTGATCAGGCCCTGATCCATTAGGAGGCCTGGTCGTGGACCAGGCTGCGGGGACATTGATCCCCAGAATATCCTCCAGGTAGGTCATGTTGGAGGGCTGTTGGCTCATGTTGGGTGTAATAGGTCATAGTGATGGAGGTTGTTGGGCCATGGTTTTGGGTTGTGATTGGGGTTATGTTGGTCATGATTACGAGATGTATTGGATCATGGTGGACTTGTGGAGGGTTGTGTTCAGCCATGATGAAGTTGTGGGGATTGTTGGGTTGTGATGGGCTTGTGGTGGTTGTGTTGGGTTGTAGAGGGCTTGTGGTGGTTATGTTGGGTCATGGAGGGCTTGTGGTGGTTGTGTCAGGTCATGGAGGGCTTGTGGTGGTTGTGTTGGGTCGTGGAGGCTTGTGGTGGTTGTGCTGGGTCATGGAGGGCTTATGGTGGTTGTGTTGGGTCAGGGAGGGCTTGTGGTGGTTGTGTTGAGTCGTGGAGGGCTTGTGGTGGTTGTGTTGAGTCGTGCAGGGCTTGTGGTGGTTGTGTTGGGTCATGGAGGGCTTGTGGTGATTGTGTTGGGTCATGGAGGGCTTGTGGTGGTTGTGCTGGGTCTTGGAGGGTTTGTGGTGGTTGTATTGGGTCATAGAGGGCTTGTGGTGGTTGTGTTGGGTCATGGAGGGTTTGTGGTCGTGTTGGGGCGTGGTGAGCTTGTGGGTGTTATTGGGTCATGGTGGGCATGGGGTTGTGCTGATTCTTGATGGACTTGAGGTTGTGGTGGGTCTTGGTGGGCTTGTGATGGGGGGGGGGTTATTACGTCGTGGTGAATTTGTGGAGGTTGTGGGTAAGATAGGGTATGAAATACTAACAAATGTAAAGTAAGGCTCATGTGCAGTTTCAAGATATTTTAATGCAGAAAAACTTCCCTTCTTCAGGACCAAAGCCATTCTCGGCAGAAATGTTTTCCCATTAAAATGTCCTGATACTGTATTTATTTATTTATTTATTTGAACATGATACATAGAAGTACAAAGAAATACAGTGGTTAAGTGTAACATGCCAAACCCCCTTGTATGCAGATCATTATGGGCAGGCTTAAAATTAACTTAAGATTAACCAAGCAATGATATATTCAGTGGTAAACATTATTGTAAACAAATAACAATTAAGCACAAATGAGTATTTCAAAGACAGGTCATATGGTCATCTACTGTGTTGCTGTGCATTCAGTAGAATCAATCAATCAATCAAGTTTATTCTCCATAAAGATTACAATGTGGGGGTTTACAGATTTTGGATATTGTGTGGTTTACATGTTATAAAATACTAATTACAGAGGGGGCCACTAGGACACCTAGCATGGCTAGGCATTTCGCACAGACTTAGATTAATTCTTAACTCTAAATTAATACAGATTATGGAGTAAGCTGGTATTAAGGCTAAGTGACTACATTGTACTTTGTGAGTTTAGCAATGTAAATGCTTTTGTTTTGGCACAATACACAGGTTCTATATTGTAGTATCACAGGCCAACTTATGACTAGTTAGGATTCATTATTTTATGATTAAGATTCGTATTTCTGATTATAGTCAAGTGGGTGAGTGAATGTAAGTGTGAACAGGTGGTTTTCATGTAGTTAGTTGTCGGGGTGTATCAGGGAGATAAGATGTTGTCTAATGGTAGTTTTGAAGATGATGAATGTGTCTTCAGTTCTAGAGCTTTCAGGTAGGGTGTTCCAGATTTTAGGCCCTTTGACATACATGGAATTTTTGTAAAGGTTTAGTCGGACACGGGGAATGTCATAGAGATGTTTGTGTCTTGTGTTATGCCTGTGGGTCCTGTCACAACTATCAATAAAGCATTTTAGGTCAAGGTTAATATTGGAATTTAAGGTCCTGTAGATGTAGATTGCACAGTAGTAAGTGTGGATGCTCTGAACGTGGAGTAAGTTTAGATCTATGAATAGTGGGGGGGGGTGTTGCCAGGGATGGGATTTAGTGATTATTCTTACTGCAGCTTTTTGTTGGGTTATTATTGGCTTTAGGTATGTTGCTGCAGTTGATCCCCAAGCACAAATAGCATAGGTGAGGTATGGATGAATAAATGAATGGTATAGTGTGAGAAGGGCATTTTGTGGCACGTAGTATCGTATCTTGGAGAGGATCCCATCTGTTTTGGATACTTTTCTTGTTATGTGTTGGATATAGGTGCTGAAATTCAGGTTGTTGTCGAGGTATAGGCCTAGGAATTTGCCCTCATTATGTCTGGCAATTAGAGTGTTGTTGATCTTAATGTTAAGTTGTGCAACACCTGCTCTGCTACCAAACATAATACATGTATAGTAGGTTTTGTCAGTGTTAAGTGTAAGTTTATTGGCTGTCATCCAAGTCGATATTTTTAGCAGCTCCTCATTAACAATGGTATTGAATGTGGCAAGATTAGGGTGAGAGATGACATAAGTCGTGTCGTCAGCAAAGAGAATGGGTTTCAGGTGTTGGGATACGTTAGGAAGATCATTGATGTAAATGAAGAAGAGCAGGGGTCCAAGGACACTTCCCTGCAGAACTCCAGTATCAAGTGGCCGTGTTGATGATGCTGTCTTTATTGGTGACATACTGATACCTATTAGTAAGGTAGGATTTGAAATATGCAAGTGCATAGCCTCTTATACCATAATGGTCAAGTTTGTGGAGTAGGATGCTGTGGTCTACTGTGTCAAAAGCTTTTCTTAGGTCAATAAAAATTCCTAGCAGATATTCGTTCTTTTCCAATGCTGTGTAAAGCAGATCTAGCATTTGTACAGTTGCATTAGTGCTTTTATTTTTCCTGAATTCAAATTGGCAGGGGTTGAGTATGTTTTGTGGCGTTATAAATGAATATAGTCTCCTGTGCATGAGTTTCTCGAAGATTTTGGATAGCAATGGCAAGTTTGATATTGGCCTATAGTTGTTTACATCTGTAGGGTCACCATCTTTATGTATTGGTGTAACCCTTGCTGTCTTGAGTAGTGTCGGTAAAGTGCTAGTTTCTAGTGACTTTTTAAAAAGTAATGTAATAGCGTGCAAAAGGTAATGTAATTAAAATTAAAAAAAAGTTTTATTGGATCACAGGTTAAACATTTATGAAATATAGTTATTCAGTATTCATCTAGTTGTAGGTGAGTAAGTGATTTTTAAGAAGAGACTTGAATTTATAAACAGTGTTTCTTTTATATTCACAGGTAATGAATTCCAGATTTTTGGGCCTTTTATGTGCA